CACTCAACCACCAATCCACATCACATGAACCCCCCTATTTACAACCTCTGCTCCTCAGATGTGGCCAATGGATTCCAAAGCAGTAACACTGTAGTGGGGCAGGGAGAGAGAGGTTTGCGTATAATTACATGAACCTAATTACATAAGAAATAGGGCTGAAGATTGATTTTACACAATAAACTCGGCAGGTCAAGAAGTTTGGCAGAGTTTATATTGTGTATAATATTCACACTAACATAACTTTCTGTGTTTGTTTTTGTTGCTTTTGCATTTTATTTTTTTTTTAGTGCTTGATTTAGCAATCTAGATTTTTCAGGTTTGTTTTACATTTGATATTAAGGAAACCAACAGCAATGACAGTGTTGAGCCCTCAGTCAATTCTCATTCAGAAAAAAGTCCTTTTAAGATGCACTGGGTTTTTTGATTATTGGTTTGCAGGAGTAAAGATTAAATAGCAGATACATGTAAGTCAGTGTCCAGAATGTTGTGAATGCTTATGGACAGTTCACTGATTATTGCTTTAGAGTGGAGGCTGCTATGGAAAACACAATCAATAAGCTAATTCTATTGTCCTTTTCTAACCATTGTCCATGTGTATAATGTTGGTTATTTGACACTGAGGTATACCATAAACATTTGAAATGTCAGAATGTTGATTGCTATTTAACCTCTTCTATTACAGAATTATTCTGTACATAATACAGTACAAGTTTGTTTCTCATGACCAAAAAATACTTACTACATTATAACGGAATCAGGAATCAATGACTTTATGCCTGCCCTAAAAAATTAAGAAAAGCTTAATATTAGATAGCCAAAACAGCTAAAAATCAAATTCTGCCTGATGATCCTAGTCTTCCTCTATGACAGAATAACAGACCTCGTGGATAGAAAAGTAGCAGTAATTGTCAAGTTATCTTGTCATAACTTTCGTAACAGCTCACCCTCTTTCTAACCAAGACAGTTTAATTCGGTTAACATATATTTATAAGTGGCTGAATAATTAAAGACAAAAACAATCTCATAATCAGCTCAACTCATAATCACAGGCAGTCTGATTCACACTGGCCCTTCTTTGGGTGACCAAATGAAATTCAGAGGTCCCTTTCAATTGAAATAATTCTATAGTTCTGTGATCCTATGATACCAAAGCAGTATGCAAGGATTTTGGAAGGTGGGGCTAAAATTAAAAATGTTCTTAGATCAATTCACTAGGAAGGGCAAATATAATGCACCCTGTCTTATGTTGGGGTTGCAAAATACAGTGTGAAAATTTTGTGCTATTGTCAACTCAATTGTTGAAACGTTCTGGCTGTCATAGTGCTTTACATCAACAGGATGTGAAAGGTATTTTTAGGTTATATGTCGGCACAGCTTTGTTCTTCGGATCAAAGTTTCAGAGGAAAATGTTAAGAAATGTGTGAAAGGAAAACAGCTGTTTGGGAAAAGTGCTGTGAACGCTACTTAGATTATAAGCAAAACTAATATACTTTCACATGACTCCATAATATTTAGAGTGGTGGGTTTTGCATATATACAGTAAAATGGTTGTGGAGTCAGAACTTATACATTAACATTAGACAATAGTCATATTGTTCCTATTTAAAATGTTACAAACATTCAGCTCTAGGATTTTAAAGTTTAACCACACTATTCATGTTCAGTGAAAATTCCTTGATGTATGGAAAAGCATAAAAGGTCGTTTAAATTATAAGAAATATGGGGATTGGATAGTTGGGAAGCATAAACCTAAATCCTTTTACGATGTTCATTTCTACTGAATTAAAATGAGGAAGATTCAGATAATTATCTGAATAACAATGAGCACTGGGTTAAGTTGATGTTCCCAAGAAAGTTGAAGAAATATATGAAGTGAATTAAAATATGTGGGATGTGTTATCTATTGATATTTAATCTTTTTCTCCTTCCTGGCTTTTGTAAAAGTTCTAACTGAATAGATATGCTCAGAACAATGTTTAGCTTTTCCCCTATGTCAGTAGGAGAACACTCTTCCCGTTAATCAGATTAATGTTTTTAGACATTTTATTCTATGCACTCTAAATTACAGTTGCAAGAACACTAAAAATTAAACATTATAAACTGCTTAATATCTAAAACACCTGAAGCTGGGATATATAACAATACATGGCTGCACATATTAACTCATTTACTTTGATTATAATGGCTTTCCCCATTTGTACATAATACCCACAGTAGCTCTGACTTTCTTTGATTTTGTGCTTTTCCTTCCAGGTTTGGATTTATTCTTCATAAGGATGAGCCTGTGCTCCAGAAAATTGATCTAGAAACTATGTCCTACATCAAGACAATTAGTTTAAAGGATTATAATTGCATTCCTCAGTCACTGGCTTATACACATCTTGGAGGATACTTTTTCATCTGCTGTAAGCCTGATACCACTGGGGCTGTCCTGCCACAGCTTATAGTGGATGGCGTTACTGATTCTGTGATTGGATACAATGGCGACGTAACAGGCACACCACATATCTCTCCAGATGGACACTACCTTGTCAGCATTGATGATGCAAAAGGTCTCATGAGGATCCAGTCCATAACAATGAGAGGAGAAATACAGGATGCGTTTGACATCCACACTAATTTGCACATATCTGATGTAGCTTTTCAGCCATCATTCACTGAAGCTCATCAATACAATGTCTACTGTAGCTCCAGCACACAAACTGATGTTCTCTTTGTGGAGCTCTCCTCTGGCAAGGTTAAGATGGTGAAGAGTCTGAAGGAGCCTGTCAAGGCAGGTGAATGGCCTTGGAACAGTAAGAACCGTCTTATAAAAGACAGTGGCCTTTTTGGTCAGTATCTTATGACCCCTTCCAAGGAATCTCTGTTTATCCTGGATGGACGGCTCAATAAGTTAAATTGTGAAATCACTGAAGTTGAGAGAGGCAACACAGTAATTTGGGTTGGAGAAGCATAAGGATCTGTGCTAGATATTTACTGAATTAGTAGTTTTACAGTACATTGCACTTAAATTACACCATTTTTCAAATATACAGAATTTCAGTTTTAAATTGTTAAACCCTTCTATACCTGTTATTTCTTTGACTTGAACACAATTTGAATCAACTGCCTCAAAAGTTACTAAAACAATGGCTATTTGATAATGGCATTCCTTATTAATTATCAGCTGAGATTGTGTTGTTTGACTGAAATTACTAAATATTGAAATTGACGCTAAATATCATACATTATTTTAAAGGAAGTAGGAAAAAAAAAGCTTCAGGGAATTTAAAATGATACCTTGCATTTGTAAATGGAAGACTTAAATACGATTCAAATTTTGGTTTGATTTGCTTCAGACACAAAATAAGAGCTGTTGTACAACCTTTGACTCCTTAAACTGAAATGTTATGTCCTGTTCTGTCCAGTCCACTGTTTAATCTTTTTGTGCCTTGAAGCGAAAGTCTCACATAAAAGGTAAAGCATAGAAATTGTCTAATTTATTCCCACTGTGGCTACAGGATTGCTTGTCATTGGAAAGAAATTTTTAATATCAAATTTCTAGTCTCAAGTTGTGGAACATACACGGAGAGAAAAAAAGGAGAAATTATATTTGCAGTGTTTTCTGATCACTGTGATTTGAGGAGTTTATTTTTATGGTGAGTCTTAGTTGAGAGAGTTGCTTGCGGAAGCTTAACCTTTTTTTAGAGAAAAATAGACAGGTTTTTCAGCTATCAGAGGGTTTCGTCAGCAAGGAGTTTCAGTTCTACTAAAGAGAAACATTGCGCTTATCCTTTCAGAGTAAACCATGTTCTAAAAAACTGGCATTGCAAAGCTTCACTTATGCCGTCGAGGAAATCATTATTTAAGAACAAACAAAACGCATTTTAAGAAACTGAAAATTCAAAGAACTGGTCTACAACCAGTTGATGACATTTTTGCTTATGCACTGCACCATTGATCCATATTTGTTAAACCATTTGGTTAGCTCAACAGATTTTATATTCCATGCATCCAATTGGATTAATGCAAAAAAACAAACAACAAAAACTTTGTATTTTTTATAGTTTGTTTACTTAGAATTCTAATATTAACAATGCTTAAAAGTGTAATTGGGAAAAATAAGATTCCCAGAAGTAGAATAACAAGTCAGTAGGATCAGAAAGCCAGCAGTAAACAACTGTCCAGACTTAGAGCAATGACTTAAGTTTGAGAGTATTTTTATTTTTATTATGTTTTTGCTAAAGAATGCTTATAAGCTCTTAAACTGACCTCCAGTTACTGAAAGCAATCAGAAAAAAATATCTTTTTTTAAACAAAATTTTACTGCAATTTAGATTGTGTAAAATTGCTTAGAAATCTGGAATTTTCTAGCATTGTAATCTTGTGTGCATCTAGCATCCTGCCCTGTGTGGGCACAGTAGATCTCTCTTCAGCTTGAGCAAACCTCCTGGTAGGTAGATTTAACTAAGATAAGAGTCTGCTTACATTTCTAGCTATTGAATCTGTTTTCCTTTTTAACAACTTTTCTCCATTGTGAACAAACAAGAATCATGTAAACTGTCTGTTACTCACTTAATTGCAGTAGTCTGTCTCATGCATTTTTCTTCTGTAACTTACACCATGTGAATGTTCTGTATGTAGAAAATGCTTGACATAAGGAGAATAAACCCCATAAATTTTAAACAGTCCTGACTTTGGTGAATGCTCCGATGTAGCCACACTGATGTGGCATGTAACTCAGACTCATTTGAAAGCAAGATAAAAGGAAGCTTTTCTGCCTTTTATTTTAAATATATATATATATAAATAATATACAGTGTGGAAAGAACACTTTTTAGAAGGGCTTAACCAACCGGAAAATTTTTCTTTGGAGCGCAAGTCTTACGAGGAGAGGCTGAGGGAACTGGGGTTGTTTAGTCTGGAGAAGAGGAGGCTGAGGGGAGACCTTATCACCCTCTACAACTGCCTGAAAGGAGGCTGTAGTGAGGTGAGGGTCGGCCTCTTCTCCCTGGTAACGGACGATAGGACGAGGGGGAATGGTCTGAAGTTGCGCCAGGGCAGGTTTAGGCTAGACATTAGGAAAAACTTCTTCACAGAAAGGGTTGTCAGGCTCTGGAATGGGCTACCCAGGGAGGTGGTTGAGTCCCCATCCCTGGAGGTATTCAAAAGAAGGATAGATGAGGTGCTTAGGGACATGGTTTAGTGGTGGGATGTCAGGGTTAGGTTAATGGTTGGACTTGATGATCTTAAAGGTCTTTTCCAACCAAAGCTATTCTATGATTCTATTAAACAATTAGGCACAGAGTAATTGGAATATAGACAGGTGTCTATTCTCATGCCTAGCCTCTGGAGCCAAAAACATCTAGTCTAGAAGCTGTATAAACATATAAGTCCAAACCAAGAAGCACGGCACTCCAGTAGCACAGCTGATCAACTCCCTATCCAGTCTGCTCAGCATGGATGGATTGCACATTTACTTTGCCCTCTCCTTGCCTAACCATTAACATTAAAGATAAGAATTGAATCCCATGACAATAGTGAGATTCCCTTGACAACATTCTGCATGATCCCTTACAATGTCTATCAAAGTCCAGGTCAGTTGTCAGTTTTGGCAGCCTCTTATTCTTTTGTATTAACATTTGGCAATTGGAGAAGCTTTAAAACTTGAATAAACCATGTTGCTCATATGAAACAGGAGACCACAATCTCTGCTCACAGACTTAACAGGTTTGACTATGTCAGTAATATCACAGCAATTTGTATAGTATAGAGACTGTCTCAATCAGTTTGGAATTCTTGTTTGAAACCAATTTCTTTATTCCCACCCTAAGAATATCTCTGACTCTAGCTAAAGCAGTTTGGTCAAGGACTATTGCCAATTCCCTGTATTTTGTTTAGGTTTTCCAGTGTAATAGCTTAAAGACCATGTTTTGTTTCTTTCCCATTTTTATGGAACTGAAACAGGTTTCTGGTGTCCAGAAGTTGTTTGGTCCTATTGAATAAATGAAAAATCAAACACTGTCTTCAGTGTTTCAAATTTCCCTTAATACAAACCCAGATATAACAACAGTTGGTTTGAATCCTGTCTTTCCTAATTGCTGTTGGAAACAGAGGCCTTCTCTTAATTTGAGGTAAACACCCATATTTTATTTCACAAGCTGTTACAAACTTTCAAGATCTAGGATTTTCTTACAGAAATACATTAGAGAAAAGTAGTGGAGGATAATGGAAATGTAATGGAAGAAGCCAAATGCACATGATGACCAAGTTCTGCTACAGCTGCTGAAACTTTCCACTGTGTTCCTGTATGATAATGAATTTGAGAAGCGCATGGGAGGACGAGACGGAGTGCTCTTCACCAGCGATTGTGATGATAGAGCTCCTTTTGCTAAGGTACTAAAAAAAATATTATTTATGAGACATGGAGAAAAGGCTCTGTCAGGCTATTTTAAGAGACATAAAATGAAAGAAAAAATAGTGCCAAAGTAAAAAAAAAAGTTACTTTTCCCTTCAGTTTGGCAGTAGACATTTTTAATAGTCTGTGCCCAAAGACATCTTTTTAACTACTATTCCATACTGATAAACAGCTAGTTATTTCCTGCACCACTGTATGTACATCAATCAATACACATGAGAGATTAAAACCAGAGATTTTTCTTTAAAAAGTTTATCTTTTATAAAAAAGTGGAGATTTTTTTTTTCAAATATGATCCTGCAATTTTTCACTTTTTGTATGTGGTCCAGAGTGTCATCATCTGTCTTCATTTATATACTTTCTGACTGCTTGGTTTATAATATCAAATTGTGAGAGATTGCTAGTTAAGCAACTGCACAAATAGGCAAACTGAGATCAGAACAACCCCTTCAGTGCATTTAAATTTCCCGTAAACAAAAGTGCCAAAGAGTTCATAAGTCCAAAAATAAGATGTCTTTGCAAATACATAAGAAACACACCTTGTATAAGCATGTCTTTAAAAAACTTTAGTGGAAAAAATGATAAAACAAGTTTCAAAGAACTCCATATATTTTTATAAGTGATATCAATGAGGTTAAAAGATTCATTCTGAGTTTTTATTGAGCCTCCTGCTCACACTGTATCATTAAGAAAGGCTGACTGTTAAATGCAAGTTAAAGGGCATCTGAACATTTAAGACTATCACAGAATTATTTAGATTTTAAATAGTAACTCTTCATCAGCAGGTTCCACTTCTTTCAATTTACAGAGTCTTTTGAGCTTGAAAATGGTATTTCTTTGTGTTATTGAACAGCTGGTTTGTTACACCAAGGTAGTGTCTGCATTTCGGTTAGGAATGAAATATTCCCAAATATGGATTACAGAATAGCAGACTTGCAAATTATGAATGTTATATTATGAAAATAACATAGTTATTACATCATTTTGCATACTTACCACAAGATGCTCCATTTGCTTTCAGCTGAAAGAGCATTGTCAGCTTAATAGGAACATTTGTTTTTAGCTAGTGAAAGAACAGTAACAGAATAATTGGTAGCATAGTCTGTAAATAAATTAGTAGGTCTCTCAAATAATTCTAAAAAAAAAAAAAAAAATACAATTACCAGTTATCTGTACTAATTTTTTCCCCTTCTTGTGGTGTTTTGAAGTGAACACCTTGAATGCATTGATTGAAATGAATGCATTTCAAGAGCTTCTGGAAAAGTGAATTGATTAATTGCTACAGGAAAATGCCTAGTGAATATTACAAAAATTCAAAATTGCATTAACTAACATTTTCACTTATTCTCCTTATTTATTCTGCCAATTATTCTCTCAGAGAACCTTAGGGAAAACCAATATAGAGAGATAAGCTTTGTAAAATAATTTATAGGTCAATAGATTCCATTTTTTTCTGATTTAGCTTTACTATGTAAATGTGTGGATTTGAACCAGGCTATGTTGTATCCTGAACAAATGCTCTCGCCACTGGATAGGGTGCAAAAAGGAAGAAGCCTTCT